AGGATGCCGAAGTTTCCTCCAACGAGACCGATGACGGTGGAGGTTCTCACTTCTGCTCGTGGGTGGTGTGGATGAGCGCACCTTCTGTATATTTGATTTCGCCGAATCTCTCAATCTAAGCTGTTAATATGCGAAGTTTATGAAAATTCCGTTGCGCTTGTAGCGAATAGAGAAGTGGCTAATCTAAACAATTAAATGACGCGGTGTCATGAAGCCCACGACGTGTGTTATACCGGATTGTGAAGTGCGTCATGTGATTGACTGGGCTCTTAAAATATAAAAGTACGCTACATGGCAATGACTCTCACCAAGGAAATAAGGTGAAGTCATCAAAGCTTACCTTTGTGCAAAAATTGGAACGGTGTGGGCTAGAAATAGCGGATCTCTCCACCCATCGCCGACATTTTGTGTAAGTAGAGCAAATGGCAAGTGGCGAATTGTTCATGCTCACAATATGCGAAATACATCGTGCGGGCACCGATTCTTAGAATGGATGGAATGCAGAACAGCATTATCGGCTGCGCATTACGTAGTGCCTTTGAAGTGGTTGATGGAGATTATTAATCGCTCATAAGAGACAGCGTACCTAATACTATCCGAGCGGACGGTGTGAGTGTAGCAAATTGGACCACAAGGGTTGTCTCATGCACCAGAGATGTTCATGTTTTCCTGTTGCATCAGCTATTCAGACCACATCATGGCTATGCGACTCAATTCTGACGACATGTTCGCTTGCAGCGGAGAAGTACACGGGGGTCAGATATGCTTCTTCGCATTCAATACTTGCACGGGGAGCTCGAGCGTATGCACTTAAATTAGCTCTTCGCTACCATCGACAAGTGTGTTTTTGTCGCCGCTGAAATCGCTTTTTGGGTCGATTTATTGAAAAACATGGCCAGCGATAAGATCCTTCAATGACCAAAGCCATCGTAGATCTGTCAGTGCCTGGGCTCCTAAAGGGATTTGGCAAACTCCCCGCATAAAAATAACGCAAATTAGGCTGACATGGAGTGCTCCCGACTATCACTTTATCGCATATGTTGTTAAACAATGCCTTGGGCTGCGGATTAGGCGGGTTTTAAGGCTGCAAGATAACTGGTATTTAATGGTTTCAGGGTGTAGTAGAAGAGGCAATGTCAAGGGTGAGAAGGGAAGCCTCGAATATACCCCAATTTTGGCTTTCTCAAATTTTGATAAAATGCTCAATGTATTTGTGACGATCCGAACCCTTTTAACGTTTCTGCTTTACTCAATGCTTATGAAATGGAGGCGTAATAGCTTTAGAGTTTCGCCAGCCTACAGCGGTAAGGAGGAACAACCTCGTCTACAACCAGGAGCTTGCTCTTGTCCTATCAAAGTGCATCAGCATAGCTCCAATCCGTTTGAAATTAGACAGATCATGAGTCGTTGCTCATAGCAACGTCGTCACCACATCTCTCTTAGAGAACGGCAAGCTTCTCATTTTTTGTATGTAGAGGCAGGTCGGCCAAAGTTAGTTGGATATGTCACACGTTCTTCCCTTCTTTAAAAAACAATGGTAACGCTGCGTAACGATGAAGCGTATTTGACAAGCGCACCATGCGTTGTGGTACTGAAAGCTTGAAGTTCGAGAGCTTTGATGTCGCTACTTAATAAAATCGCAGTTGTATTGCTGCGTCGTTAACCCTTATCCCATGGTTGATGTATCATAGCACTGACCAACTCGGCACCGTATGTTCAGGAATATCTCATAAAAAATACCTCAGATAGAATTACTTTTTGTTTTCTGTTGGGTGGCCACCACGGCAGACGAGTCATACGGCTCGAGATTGCTATGTATTGTTGTCCCTGCATATATCAGTAGATATATCTCCGTGCGAATGCGTAACATGTTAGACCATAGCCGCATGAGTCGTCGCCCTACAACAATCTACTGGTTTGGCGGGATGTTGACAATCACATTGACTCGGACTTATTCTGTTGCATTCATAAAGAAGCTTCCGGTCAAACCGGTATTTTGGCCTCTGTGTACCTTCTGAGCAATACGGTTCATCTTACTTCTTGCAGCGACATCCCAACCGACAAGAAAATTTTTGCCAACATGGCTTGCCAGTGGCCATCGTATCAAACCGAAATATGCGATTGAAAGCTTTGAGGGTGCTAGAAGCTAGAATGAGCATTTCTATCGCTGAGAATCCACAGGCATATATATGGTCAGACGGAACGCAATTATTGCGAAGAGAAAAATAGTACTTAGCGAAATGACTGCCGTGCAGAAGCAAATCGTTAATATGACTTGAGTCGCCCTCATTATTGCTGTAAATGCCTCTACAAGGGTTAGCTCGTCTTCTATTATTTTTTATCAGCCCTACATTACTTCGACTTTGTCACGAATCAGCTCGGGTTTGCATAAAAGTCTAGTGGTACAATTCGACTCGCTGATATCACCTCGAAGCTGCACTACAGAATTTTCTTACTGAGACTGATCGTCAATCAACGAGTGCACAATGCCATTGCAGAAGCATGGTCAAGAAAACATCATGTTGATGCCAGAGGCAGTAGATACACAATTATTGTGCTAGAAATATTTTTGTAGGCGCCTCCAGGCGCAGTACCTGCGGTCTATAAACTGGCGTTACGACATTGCAATATTGATCTGCTTGCGATCGCAGTTCAAAAGAGTAACGCTACAATCAATATCCCGATAAGAATATATGCACATCGTGGGCGTGCTATAGCCATATTGAACTAGTTGGATTTAACGCACTTTGTTGGAGACAGAGCAGCATTTAAATTATCCCTTGTGACAGAACTACATTCTACTCTAGAACGGTGACAAGGCATTCACTAGCGGTTCTCAGTGCATTAACATAGCTGGAAGTGCGCATCCACAAACTCTCGAATTCAGTATCGGCTGCACGACAAGACTCCCGGACAATATTCACATATTAACATCACTAGAGTAGCTCATGGCAGCTAGCCGCAGAAGAGTCGTTTTCCACCGCCATTCTCGATAAGAAAGAGGTGGCTCACCCTTTTGCGGAATGTTTGGTCGACTGGCGATACACAAGGGCTGGTGGTGGAGTAATCGGAATTACTTTGTTCTCTCAACACATGGGAGTTTGTGGTCTCGCTTCGTCGAAATTGCCCTGGCGCTGTTGGTGCTTATAAATTGGCGTAAACTCGGTCTTTATCTTTTCTGGATAAAAATCATGGTCGCTGGGCGCAGCACACTTTCAACTAGCAAGTGGGCGCCGACAAATATTCAAACAAGTGACGAATAAAATGTCGTCGTGAGTTCCGCGGTGGGATCGTGACACTTTTCACCATAGCGAACGGGCAAGAGTGCGTTATCCGTGAAGAGGAGAGACGAAGCAAAGAGGACACATTTTACTAAGTGCAACTGTATGTCTTTCGGTGAGGGTCGAGTTGTCGTACTAGGACTTGGAGTGTAACGGCTGGTAATAGGGTGTGGGTCACACGAGATGGGCATGGTGTGATTGCACCTAAACAAGAATACGGTATGTGGCTAGGTAACCAGTAGTTATGCATGTATTTAGATTTCACTATATATTTAGTTATTTAAAAAAATCTTAACATTTGAAGTCAGGCGGCTTTGCCGCAGATAAAAATAAATAAAAATTGGTTTTGGATTTCAAACGGAAGAGTAATTAGCCTTGGGTTAAGGCAATAATTACTCTTGGGGTAAGCGGATTGCGATCTGCTAACTCGTACTTGCTCTCAGTATAGAACGAAAAGTCGGTGACCCAAATTACACTTCCTCAAGCGCTAAGCTACGGCAGCCCCGCTGTACTTGATAGCACGTGTAGTCAATCAACACCTAAGTCGTTTAGACTGATCCTCTGTGAGGATGGAGGAATTCTCCTCTTTGCCCCAGGGCA